TTTTTGTTGGAATAATTTCATATTGCATTTTATAAAAGATACGTAAATTTTAAATTTAAAGTACATAATATGTATGTACTTCAAATAAAATATTAAACCTATTTATGAAATAAAAAAGTTTTTCTAAGAAAAATATGTGTCTTGATCGAGAGTTTATATGGAAGCTATATCTAAATTTAAACCCATTTGAAAATAATTTTGTACGTTGTCTTTTGCAAATATCAGTACTGTATACACCATATTCCATTTGAATACCTTTATTAAAAACGGAGAAACCTTATATCCGATTGTTTAGTTTATATCACAGCTACAAGAAATAGACGTCCAATTTCAATCAAATCAAATGGTGAACAGGGTGCGCTCCCGAAAAGTATGTGTATAAAGTTTTATTCGAAGAGTTCAAAAGCTGAGAGAGTAGTTTGAACTGTAAAAGTATACTGATATATACTTAATGGTATTTCCGAAGTTTCCTTTAATGCGTTACGAAAATATTGACAAACCTTATATACCCTTTTTACATTTTTTCGTGTAAAGAGTATAAAAAGAGGGGCCCCTTAGTATGTTGGTAGGGGCCCCTTAGTTAGAATTTGCTTACAGGCCTAAAAAATGTAGTTACGCCACTGCCTATAAGTTAGTGTGACAGGATCAACAACCAAATTTACAAGGAATCTTAAAGTAATTGTATAGGCAATAATAGAGAAGAAATCGTCTGGAACTTAATACTTTTATACAGGTGACTGCTATAAACCAACTTAAATTGATAAGAAAGCTTCAATAAAGAAAACTTAGCTCATCTAAATGCATTTACAAGTTGGGAGCCTGTGAAGCATATAAGCCTAACATATAATTTTTTTTAAAAATGCCACAGAAATAAACTAATTTCCTAGCTAAATAAATCCTTTCCCTTTATTGCTCTGCTCTTTACAGTACTAAGTACAAACCTAGTATTGGGTAGTAATGAAATGAGTTCATTAAAAAATCGCATTTTCGGTTGTTAGAGTCATCTTAGTCATTCAATTAACTAGCTGAACAGTTGTACTTTACTTTTTTGCTTAGCTCAGAATAACAGCTTGGAGAGAGATTCAACAAACGTATCACTGTCTTGAGCTTAAATGGCAACGAATACAAGAATTACAGTGACTGTATTACAATTTAGTGTTCCAGGTGCAACAATATTAGTTCAAATACCTCCATCTTACTCTTAGAGATTAAGCTTTAAATTTGAAATATTATGTCGAAATTAATGAGGATTCTATTAAAAAAAGAGCATGTCTATTACTATATTTTCGATCTTCGCTTTACTCTCAGGTACTAAAACCATGACTATCAATATGTTTGTATTACTTCTACACTAAAAAGAAGGTATTAGTGCTTTAATATGTTGTAACTAATGTTGAAGATAGTTCTAAGAATTTTACTACCTCATTGCGTGGTTAAGGTCAACACGTTTAACTTCTTAGGCATCTGTATATAAGGAATGATCGTTTGAAAATTGAATATAAACAACAAAGTTTAATTACTCCTGTAGGCCGCAAGGAAGTTGATAATTGTAGTGTAGATAACAATTACCGTTTATTCAACGAAATTCACATTAGACATTCATATATTCAAGTTGGGTGTTCGAAAGCGAGACATAACTAAAGCATTAAGGGAAGCTGTTATCTCCAATCTTCACTCGAACTCGGGTTACACAATTATAAATCCTCAATTGCTTTTCGTAACACTAGCATTTCGAATATAAAATAATCTCCTGATATTTCACTAATGAGGAATACTTCGTACAAATAATTATCCTTATAAGATTAAAACATATTTTTGTTTGTAAACACCAACAGGTTTATCCGCGTCCAAGCATAGTCGACAATATATTTCTTCAGACAGATTCATATTATCAAGATGATAACGCAGCGAATGATGACCTACCAAATAACCTACCATCAAGCTCAGTTCTCTTCAATGAGCTACTGTAGTTATAGAAACGAACCAGCTGGTAGTTCTCTGGTATCTTTTGACAGTATTAAAATTTTATGTTTGCAAGTCCCTTTTTATCAGATATATCCTTGTGAACTAACTCTTTCCAAATAATTAAATGGCTATACATCCCCTTTCGAAATTACCTGGGAAATCATCAATTCCTGTGTGACCAAGCATTCGTAAAACAACGCCTTATTTTTGCTTTCCAGTTAATGCAGAATGTCATAAAAATCCACCAAAATTCTCGAACAGAAAAGAGTCTTAAATATTGTTTAGCAAATAGTGTAGATACAGATATGTTTTGTTAACATATCTTTTTTCCTTTAGTAGTGTTAACAAAAAGATCCTATTCTTTTCAATTCTTTGTGCCATATGTATATATAGAGATATTTTAAAATCAAATGCAAACTGCAAGTCATTATTATTATTTCGTATACATTAGATTGACTAATTAAAAAGAATATTGAAAGTATCTTAATTCAACTCTTTAAACTATATTGCAATATTTTTGGGTTGGTTTAATATCAATATTACTTTGTATCTTTGTAACTGAGGCCATTTACGATTGACCTAGATTGCAGTTCTCTAACTAAATAATTAATGCAATTAAATTCACCTTGCTTTTTACTGCTTAAGCTACTTATCATCAAAATCAAATCGAATACCATGAGCAATCGCTATCACATTCAACTCAGGAATCACATTCGCAGTGCCAGGTTTCTGAAAACGATGAACATTGCTTAGAACCTATGTTGAAGTCGCTTAAGTCCTCAGACTTTTCACATTCTAATCAGGTAATACCTGAGAAATATACCGATCGTGCTGAAATTGGCTTACACGAACACCAGGAACCACAAGAACAACATCCGAAAGAAGACTTCATAAAGAAAGAAATTTATGATTTTCCAAAAGTTATCGTTAAAGACTTAATTTTAAATTTTGAAAACCATATCAATGGATTTGTGCAACCGAACGATATTGTTAAATGTGATAAGAAGGAAAAGGAAAATATGTTAAAAAGCAAAAGTATTCAACATTCGCGTTCATCTGAAACACTTCAAACAGATCAGTTTCAAATATGTAATGAAATTAAGATTGACAAACTATATCAAGAACCAACAGATTCATATGAAGGCAAGCAAATCTTAAACCCATTTGTGTTTTAAATAAATTACGAAATCATACGCAATCCATTCCACTTTGTAAACAATTTATTTAATCATTTAAAATTTTTAACCAGACACTCTAATCTTTTTAATAGCAGAACTTTTTTAACAAATACATGTGAATATTATGCAAAAAATTATTTTTACATCTAAATATATTACTAATATTGTCAATTATCGCATGCTGAGTTAGAGTATTGGATAAGTGAATATTTTTCAAGCAATGTCTTCACATTCTATTAATAAAACTTTTAAATTATATACTTAACACATATTACCTTTTTATAGATATTTATAATTAAAAATAAATTACGTTATAACATTTCAGAGCTGTATGTGCCAAAGGATATACCTCTAGAAAGCTATGCACCACCACCAACATCTTCACCGATCAAGACAAATTATAATCATGAATGGAAACCATCAACTAACTTCCTTGGTTCACAGTTTTCTGAGCTTTCTCGTAACAACGAACCTACACATTCACAAAATGTTTGTAATCTTCCTACTTATAGTCCCTTAATTTCTAATATACCAAAAGAACAGTCATGCGTACAAAATAATTGCATGACTGCACCGCAAAATATTCGTCAAGTAAATTTCAGCCCATCTCCTCTACCTTACGATAAATTGGCTAAATTTGATAGTCCAACAAGCCCACCATCTTTTAATAACAATTATACAGGAAACAGGTTATCTAGGTCAAATTTGACAATTGGAAGCTCTGCTGTTCGCAATATATCACCTAAGCCATTTGGACATGTTGCATCTGGTACGATCTCTCCAAAATTGGGTGCACCCTTATCTCCAAATTACTCCACACCGGTAACAGCAACTCCAGTTAATCAATATTATAACACATCTGGCAGAAGTACGTCCCAAAATATTTCATCATCCAATATACTGCATGGAAGTAATTTCAACAATTCGGCTCAAGGTTGGCAGAAGAAAGCTCCAACAGCAGTCAGTCATGCACCTTTAAATACGCAATTGCATGTTGGTGGAAATTTGCCCTATACAGACTTTTGAAATGTATTCTATTCAGTAACACTGAAAATGTTTTATAAATACATGTTTATGTATGTGCTGTTTGTGTTTTTTGCGTTAAATAAACGAAATAAAATATATGTGCTTAAATGTGTTTATTGTTTTAAATTTATCATGAAGTGCAAAATATATGTCCAAATAGTTTATATATAACCTCTCCTTCTTATGCATACATAACAAAACTTCTTTGTTTTACCTTCCCATATATTCCTTCTTCCATGAGTCTGTTCCATTGTCCACAAAAGGACTGGACTGGACTAGCGTTCAATTTGACATGATAGATGTAATACAAGTACTTCAATAAAGATAATGACAATTTAATGTTCAGAAAACTGTGAATATCTAATGAAAGAATTTTATATAATTGCAAAGAAGGATTTCCATTAAATCCATTTTTTTTTCAGTGTAACGGTAAGTTCGAGTTTCAGTTCCTGACACTTAAAAAAAAAATTTAATTCTGATTTTCGCATACTTGAGCCATGATCACGATCAAAATTTCAGTAAAATTGTGTGCAGTATGAAATAGAGTTATGTAAAGATTATCATCACCATCAAAGAAGCAAAGAACAAATTCCTTGTTTTGTTGAAATAATAATTTTCAAAAAATATTTACTGCTGTACTAAAAGCTATATTAAGCAAATGGACTTAACAAGAAATTATTCATAACTGCGACTGGAAGATAGTAACTAACGATAACCAAATGAGTAACAACAGCTATAAGTAGAGTTTCATCATATCGAAAATAACGAAATTAAGTTATAGAATTAATGAATGAAAGGAATTGACAGATAATTAATCATTAAGCACGGTTAGATTCTATATTCTAGAACACATTACCCAAATTTAAATTTCATTTCATTCATTCATTAAGTCCACCTCAGGAAGATATGCTGATTTACGGTCCGTCATCAGTTAGAAAATAAATAAATGATAATGATTCCAGTATAGTTAAAGTTTAGTGTGGGGTAGGGATAAGCCCCCCAGAGCCACAATAGAGTAAAACAACAACAACAACAAGTCCACTTACAGCTAAATAAAATGGAAAAACTATTTATCATGTTTGTATTAGGTTTCTAAAAATTTACATTTTATTTGGAATGATTATAGACACCATAATTAAGTAAAGTAAGTCATGATGAAAGCATTAATATATAAAGTAAAAATTATATAATATATAAATAAATAGAACCTTAAATTACTGAAACTCATTTTCAAGGCAGTTCATCCATCGGCTCCTAATAAGCTATTAGTAAAAAACTGCTAATACAGAATTTGAACTTTGAACATTGAAAGTTCGAACCGCTATATATAAAATATATTACAAAAAAAATATTACCACGAAGCAGTCCAGTAATAAATTAAGTTGGGATATATTCGTATAATCCAAAGCTCATATATTAAAACCATGCATCGGACCTTGTATTTGTAATTTTCAGTAAACAATAACTCATTGTCCAATTGTATGTGAACCATTCCACAAATTATTTATTATATGTATCAATACTTAGCCTTACGAACATTCCTTCAAAGTTTAAAATAATACGAATATCTTGATTAAAAAGGATTCTATAAGCATTTACACTGTTTAATTGGAATCGACTTTACAAGTTAACATATTCATGCTTATTAAATAAACAATAATTTATGCAAACCGATAGTGAAATGGAATATAATATCAAAATATTTAACTCAACTTCATATTTAAATGCATATTCTTAAAGAAAGTTAGCACTAAGTTGTTTAACATACATTATTACTTCAATGCAAGTTATTGTTACTGTGAATCAGTGACGTAACTAGATTTTTAGGCCCATAGGCAAATTTTAATTACGGGGCCCTCTATTTACTTCTTTTTACACATCTTTTAATTTTCTGTTAAAAGGGTATATTAACTTTGTCGAAGACACCATAAAGTATATATGAGTATATATCAGGGATCGTATTTGCTCACTCATGAGCAGCTCAGGTTCATGAACAAGAACCAATTCTTATGTGAGTCCGAAGTTGGCTCATGAGCGTGAGCCAAAAATTGGCTCATATTGAAGAGCTGCTCACCAGCGTGAGCCTTCATGTTGCTCATATTGAAGAGCTGCTCATGAGGTCTCACGAACCGAGAGCTCACGAGCACAACTGTTTAATAAAATGTGATTTATTAGTTTATTTGCTTTATTTATTTTTATAAACGTTATATGTGAAAATATATTATTTGAAATTAACTTAGCTTATTATTATTTATAATAAAACAATATAATGAAACAATATAATGAATTTGAAAAACAAATTTATAAATATTATTTTCCACAAATAAACAATACAAATATATTTATTGTTTTTTTTAAGAACTTTGATTATTTCCATATTATAGTTAGTTATTAATACTCTATATCTTTTTTAATGACATTTTTTCACAAAAAAAATAATAATAAAATCTGAAATTGGGCGCATGAGATCTCATGAGCCTCAGCTAATACTCTTGCTCACGAGCGTGAGCCCATTTATAACTTAATGGCGGCTCTTGCTCGTGAGCGTGAGTTCTGTAGTTGGGCTCGCTCGTGAGCGTGAGCCATCGTATGAAAAGAGTTTTTTGCCGGCTCATGAGCCGTGAGCAGAATGAGGCCAAAATGATCCGCTCAAGGGTACGCAAACACGAACTCTAGTATATATATATATATATATATATGTATATATACAAGTAACCAGCTCGACGAGTTAAGTTAATTTAGATGAGTCCGTTTGCCTGTTTCAGTTCAAACTACTCCCCAGTTTTTGAGCTCTTCGAATGAAACTTTGCACACATACTTCTCGGTATTGGACCTTGTTCACTATTTAATTTAATTAAAATTGGACCATTATATCTTATAGCTGCCAAATAAACTAAACTACCGTATGTAAAGTTTCTACGTTTTTAATAAAGGTTTATAATAATATAAAGTGTACTTATGTTTCTATTATGCAACGTATAAAATGTTATGCAAATTGGTTTAAATCGACACAGTTGCTATATAAACTTTCGATTCAGACACATATTTTTCTTATAAAAAACTTTTTTATTTTCCAATATATTCACTTCAAAATTAAAATTGAAGTATATTTTATAACACACAATATATGCAATAAAAATAGAGTAGATCGGTTCGGATTTAAATATAGCGCCGATATAAGAAGAGTGTTTGAAGGGTATCTAAGCTTTGTCAAAGTCAAAACTAATATCATGATTTGTTATTTTAACTGTTTATAAAAAGGAAACTTAAGATCAGAAAATGAACTTTTTTTACTTAAAAATGGAGAAAGAAATAGTTTGAAGATTTATGAAATTAAAACTATACGACAACTCTGTCAAAATAAAAAAAGAAGTAGAATACAGTTCAAGTTCAGTTTTGGGTTTTAAAGTGAAGTAAAGGGGAACATTTTTGTCCATTTAGCAAAATTACCCTAAGTAAAGAATACGGCAACCCTAACAAAATAAAAAAAGAAGTATAATATAGTTCAAGTTCAGTTTTGGGTTTTAGAGGGAAGTAGACGGGTACATTTTTGTCAATTTAGCAAAATTACCCTAAGTAAAGAATAATATAATAAACAAATTTTGTAACAATATTTATATATATTTAAGAATTTTAACATGTTTAAATACGAGTATTTAACATTTAAAACTCATTATAAATAATAAATTATACTAATATAACTAACTCATTATCTAATATACTAACAAGTTATAATTATAAATAATAACAGGTAATTCAAAATATATTTATGTGTAAAAAAAATTATAATAAATTATTTTAATGTTTTTTCGTCTCGATTTTGGTTCTTTATTTTCAATAGCAATCAATGCTTAATATTTTAGACAAAATGGTCCAAATGAATTTCTTTTAAAATCTTTTATAATTTTTAATTTGCTAAATGTACTTTCTACTTTAGCAACAGTCACAGGCAAAGTAAAAAATATGATAAAGATTGTATATACTTCACATAAATCACTTTCCAAGCAACTAAAACCCTACGAGAAATGGTGAACTCTATATGTAACTAATATCCAAATCCATCGGGACCTTAGGATAATTCCGGTAAAAGATGAGGTAAAAAAGGTGGCCAGGAAATACCATGAATACAAATTCATCCCAACTCTCTTACTTCGAGTTTGATGTGAAATGCCGCTTCAGATGTTAGAATAAAATCTTTAAAAAAAAAATAACTCTCCACAGAGAGAACCATCTAAATTTTAAAGTATCAGGTCTTAAATCATCTTTATCAAAAAATTGCAAAATGTCATAACATTATTTGACATAATACATAGTAAATTTAAATTGAAAAAAAAAAATTAAATCGCTTTTCAACGTATTTATATTTGTAAATTGTATAGCAATTATATCTGTCAGAACTTTTCTTTTGTTGACATTTTTAACATTCGTTTTGGTTCTCAAAACCCAAAATAGTTTACAATATTATCCATACCTTCAAATCTTCTATTTATTTGATTTATGATAATATCAATTACTAAATAAAAACTTGAATTTTAAAAATATCTTCTCTTGTCTTGAGTCTATAGTCTGGATTCAGTTTCTTTAAAGTCATTTGTAACTCTTCTGAAAATTGGTGCCATCTTTTTACGCTACTGCCAAAAATGTATAAATTTCTTGAGTTGTTGTAAAATTTTGCCACGTCTTTACGTACTTCTATTGCATCTTTAAGGACGAGATTTAAATTATTATTTTATTTTAATTATTAAATTATTTTAATTTTTTGTTGCAAACTATTATATACCTCTTTCATCACATCAGTATCATTATAAATCTCAAAAATCTTTCTTTTATTTCAAAATCAATTGGTTCCGATCTATATTTTCTTCTAATTTGCTTATATCTATTAAAAATGCTTAGTTTGTCAAGTAAAATTGAGTAGCACAAGCTTAATTTAATATTAGTAATTATTTTCTCCAGCAAATGTTTTCTAATACATTTTATTATTTCGTTTTGGATTCCGGGTCTTAAATATTTAATGAACCAGTTGGCATTTCTAAATCGTAAAAGCGTCATCATATTTGGCTAAAAGTTCAACTTCAGACAAAAAATTTCTGTTTTC